TCATAATCATGCCACAATGTCAAAGGATTCACACATTATTTTCACTCAAAGAGGATGACATGCCTTAGAAGATATTTTTTCCTTACAAGAATTTCTTAAGAACAGAATCTTCCATATTGATTGCCAATACGTGTGTCTGGCTTAACTATTATCAGGGGCAGATGGACTCGTCTGTCTGTCTGTCTGGCTGTGAAATGTTGCAAGTTAATTTCTGGTGAAGCTTCGGTCTCACTTTCAATTTAAAATGATGTTTTTAAATGTTTCAGACAAAAAATGAAATTGTGTTTCTGATAACTAGTGGGAAAATGGAGTTCTATTATAGATACCGTATTTACCGTAACAAGGGCACAGGTAAGTGACAAGTGGGATGCCGCTATTTAGACACATTATTTTCCTCAAACAACATACCTTGTAATTGGCCATTTTCCCTCCCGCAGAGACATGAAGGTCTCTTTATTCCACTCTCAAGTTGAATTCAGTTAGATTGAATTTGGTCACTGTATCAGCAGATAGCGTTTCCATCTAATATATTGGTGTACAAAGATATTTTGATGGTAGAAAGTGTCTTAATCCTCAAAATTGACTGGACAGCTTTCGGAATATAAAAATTCTGAAACAGAAAACAAGTCTGGAATTTCATGGCAAGCATTTGAACTAAATTTTTAAAATCTCTTATTTCAATGACAATAGTAAATGGAGCAGACATCCATATCCTGTTATATATACCTGCTAATTTATATAACAAAGATGTAAAATTTCTATGGTTTATATTGCAAACATAAAAGATATAACAAATACAATTGTCAGTAATTATATATCAGAGATATTATTACAATATCCTAGCTTGATATATTGTTAATGCACTATTATATTTGACGAGTAGCCTTAATACCTATGTTTCTGTACTTACCTATCTTTCTGTACTTATCACCAGGTAAACAGTGCTGTGTGTTCATTACCTTCCTGCTATAATCAATATCTGATTGTCCCTCAATCAATTTCACCAACCCAGGTGTGCTTTCTTAACGAGGTCACGACTGCATCTTTAATCCCATGCTCCTAAACTTACCTGCCATTAATATTTTAGCACCCATGGCCAGCATTGAGGTGAGAAACAACTAGCCATGGTATGTTATACACACTGTATTCTCATGGAGTAAACATCAGGTCACATGATCGGTAAGGATTTGGATTTAGTCCCGGTTCAAACTTTCTCTTTGGTTATATTCATGTGTTCCCTAAATATAGCTATAATCAAATCAATACATCCCTTCAGCATTTGTTTCAGAAAGTGTTTCGTAATTAATCTAAGTCCCCTGTTACTGAAACTTACCAAGTGCTTTAAAACTGTTTCTGACGTGAATGGTGGCCTATAACAGATCATGTGGGAAGACGGTGCAATAATCACGGCACAGGAATCAGAAGACAGAGTGTACAAGACAAGTGTGGTGTAAACTGTGTAGCTGGGAATTCAGTCTGACTGGTAAAATACATATAAGTTTGAATGGAGTATTGAAATTGACAGGAGGTGCAAGTTGATAGTGCCTTTTGGAGCCTACTTGTCTACATTGTTTGACAGTAAAGTGTGGTGTCTTTTGGAGCCTACTTGTCTACCGTGTTTGACAGTAAAGTGTGGTGTCTTTTGGAGCCTACTTGTCTAATGTTTGACAGTAAAGAGTGGTGTCTTTTGGAGCCTACTTGTCTAGTGTGGTGTCTTTTGGAGCCTACTTGTCTAGTGTGGTGTCTTTTGGACCCTACTTGTCTAGTGTGGTATCTTTTGGAGCCTACTTGTCTAGTGTAGTATCTTTTGGAGCCTACTTGTCTAGTGTGGAGTCTTTTTGAGCCTACTTGTCTAGTGTGGTGTCTTTTGGAGCCTACTTGTCTAGTGTGGTGTGTTTTGGAGCCTACTTGTCTAGTGTGGTGTCTTTTGGAGCCCAGTTGTCTAGTGTGAGGTCTTTTGGAGCCTAGTTGTCTAGTGTGGTGTCTTTTGGAGCCTACTTGTCTAGTGTGGTGTCTTTTGGAGCCTACTTATCTAGTGTGGTATCTTTTGGAGCCTACTTGTTAAGTGTGGTGTCTTTTGGAGCCTACTTGTCTAGTGTGGTGTCTTTTGGCACCTTCTTGTCTAGTGTGAGGTCTTTTGGAGCCTACTTGTCTAGTGTGGTATCTGTTGGAGCCTACTTGTCTAGTGTGGTGTCTTTTGGAGCCCACTTGTCTAGTGTGAGGTCTTTTGGAGCCTACTTGTCTAGTGTGGTGTCTTTTGGAGCCTACTTGTCTAGTGTGGTGTCTTTTGGAGCCTATATACTTATCTAGTGTGGTATCTTTTGGAGCGTACTTGTCTAGTGGTGTCTTTTGGAGCCTACTTGTCTAGTGGTGTCTTTTGGAGCCTACTTGTCTAGTGTGGTGTCTTTTGGACCCTACTTGTCTAGTGTGGTATCTTTTGGAGCCTACTTGTCTAGTGTAGTATCTTTTGGAGCCTACTTGTCTAGTGTGGAGTCTTTTTGAGCCTACTTGTCTAGTGTGGTGTCTTTTGGAGCCTACTTGTCTAGTATGGTGTCTTTTGGAGCCTACTTGTCTAGTGTGGTGTCTTTCAGAGCCCACTTGTCTAGTGTGCGAGTGTAAACACAGCTGTTTCTGGTTACATTGGTAGTAGTTATCATGGAATGTTTAATGTTGGCATGACACAATTTTGATTTATGCAACCTAAAGGAGGTCCTCATTTTTTCACCTTAACTTCAAATCATATTGATTTCAGGTTTTATTGAGTCTATGGATGTGTTGGCTACCTAAAAGGGAGCATTTAGACGTCCATGCCAAGGCTTACAGATAGGGTAGTAGATTATAAATATTCTCTGTTCATGTAAAGCTTACAGATAGGGTAGTAGATTATAAATATTCTCTGTTCATGTAAAGCTTACAGATAGGGTAGTAGATTATAAATATTCTATGTTCATGTAGAGCTTACAGATAGGGTAGTAGATTATAAATATTCTCTGTTCATGTAGAGCTTACAGATAGGGTAGTAGATTTTGTATTGTTTACAACAAAACTACACGGTTTATAAATATTCTCTGTTCATGTAGATAGATACCTGATCAAATTGACTGGTGTTTTTCTCTGTTAATGTAGATAGATCCCTGATCAAATTGACATGTGTTTTTCTCTGTTCATGTAGATAGATCCCTGATCAAATTGACTGGTGTTTTTCTCTGTTCATGTAGATATATAGATCCCTGATCAAATTGACTTGTGTTTTTCTCTGTTCGTGAAGATATCAACTGGTGTTTTTCTTTGTTCATATAGATAAATCCCTGATCAAATTGACAGGTATTTTTCTCTGTTCATGTAGATAGATCCCTGATCAAATTGACTGGTGTTTTTCTCTGTTCATGTAGTTAAAACCCTGATCAAATTGACTGGTGTTTTTCTCTGTTCATGTAGATAGATCCCTGATCCAATTGGCTGGTGTTTTTCTCTGTTCGTGAAGATATCAACTGGTGTTTTTCTTTGTTCATATATATAAATCCCTGATCAAATTGACTAGTGTTTTTCTCTGTTCATGTAGATAGATCCCTGATCAAATTGACTTGTGTTTTTCTCTGCTCGTGTAAATAGATCCCTGATCAAATTGACTGGTGTTTTTTCTCTGTTCGTGTAGATATTGACTGGTGTTTTCCTCTGTTCGTGTAGATATTGACTGGTGTTTTTCTCTGTTCGTGTAGATAGATCCCTGATCAAATTGACTGGTGTTTTTCTCTGTTCATGTAGATATTGACCTGTGGTTTTCTCTGTTCGTGTTGATAGATCCTTGATCAAATTGACTGGTGTTTTTCTCTGTTCGTGTAGATATTGACTGGTGTTTTTCTCTGTTTGTGTAGATATTGACTGGTGTTTTTCTCTGTTCGTGTAGATATTGACTGTTTTTTTTCTCTGTTCGTGTAGATAGATCCCTGATCAAATTGACTAGTGTTTTTCTCTGTTCATGTAGATATTGACCGGTGTTTTTCTCTGTTCGTGTAGATAGATCCCTGATCCAATTGGCTGGTGTTTTTCTCTGTTCGTGTAGATATTGACCGGTGTTTTTCTCTGTTCGTGTAGGTAGATCCCTGATCCAATTGGCTGGGGTTTTTCTCTGTTCGTGTAGATAGATCCCTGATCAAATTGACTGGTGTTTTTCTCTGTTCGTGTAGATATTGACTGGTGTTTTTCTCTGTTCGTGTTGTAATGTTTATGTTTATAAATCAAAATTTGATATTATTCTTTATTATCAAATGGTATTTGATCGTGGTATAGTGTCTTATAGTAAGCTGGTCTGAGGCACTTTAAAATACATAGATATTCAATTCATTTAGCAGTTTTTAGTGTTTTATTCTACCTTACACTGTTATACCTTGTAAATTGTGTTAGAGTTATCTCCCTTCAAAACTTAATTACTATTCTCAAATAAATCATAACAATTCTGAGAGTTTGTTTCAATCAGACAGTGGGATACTACATAGCTGTTGCTATAAGCCATTGATCATTGTGTTATTAACAAGTGAGATCATTTGATGTAATCGGTCAACCAACAGTACAGCAATATAGGTATGTGGTGTTATTTGACCATAGCAGCAGCAGAAATCGTTTTTCAAAAAGATCAATACAGTGACTTCACTGCACTGGAGATTGTATCCAAACATTGACAGAGTTTATAAAAGAAATTGTGTCTTAATGTCCCTTTAAGTGTAAAACTGTGTTGGAAATGAGATGCCTGTTACAGTACCATTGTTAGTGATACAATGTATCTGGATCAACACATGTTGCTGAGTCCTTCCAGTGATTTATATAACATATAATCAGGAACAATGGGATAAAAACCGATCAAAATTTCAGAAAAAATTTCCTAGTATGACAATTGTTAACTTTAATGTATGCAAGCTGTTGTCCACCACAAGAACATTGTGTAAAATCAAGTACATATAGAAGTTACAAGTTTAATTAATGCAGAATTTCTTACTTCACAGGCCAGCAAGCCATACACATGGGTAGAATGGGGGCACGAAAACATCCCCTGAAGGATCAGAATCGACACCGAAATGTCACACCTCCGAAGAGGAAGGCTGCCGATGATTATGCTCTCATGCAGAAATCCCAGCAAGAATTACTCAAGTCGCCAAAATCTGACAGCGGATTACGAAAACCAGACCTTCGAGCTCGATACTGGAAGTTCCTGTTTGACAATCTACAACGGGCTGTTGATGCAATATACGAAACATGTGAACAGGACGAGAGTGTCGTTGAGTGCAAGGTGAGGATTGCGATTACCTACTCAGTGGAAGTATGCTTAACATCAGAATTCCAATTTCATTTTAACTTAAGACCTAATTTGAGGTTATAAAATTATTGTATATTTTCCTAAAAAACAGTATGTATAAGTAAATGGGAATGGGAAAAAGAAATGGCATTATGAAAAATTATTTGTTTCGTTCTATTTTAAATGAACATTCTGTTAGCTAAACCACCTAAGAAAAATAGTGCTGATCATACAGTATTCTTGTAAGAAATTTCTGTTGAGATCAATATTACTACAGTAAAGACGATGTTCCTCATTGACTGGCTTTGTATGTACAAGTAACAGGTGCTTAGCTCGGTCGAGTTACAGTCTATACATGTCATAGGATATTGTAACACCGCTGTATATATAAGCTTAGATATTTATCAGTTTGCTTACCTATCAGTCAGAGTATTAGTTTTTAATTTGTATCCATTAAGACTACAAGTAACAGACCCTTTAAAAGCATCAGGGCCCTTATTCATGAAACCATTCACATGCTCAAGCATGGATTCTGTGCTCAAGCCAACTTTCATGTAACTTGCTTAAATCATTGATTAAAGTAAGGTAATAGAGCCAATGTCGGGGTCATTGTCCATTACATCACAATATCAAAGTGAACCCTGAAAAAACATTGTAAAATGAAACCTCAACTGCAGAGGGGAAACTCGTCGGCAATATAAACTTTAAAACCCCACTTATTGGTGATGCTTGAGTATGTTGTGATGTAACTGTATATGTCGCTTAAATCATAAGCAATCATAAGCAATGATAACAGTTTTAGGCTGTAAGTCTCTCAAAATTAGCATCTCATTGACAAAATATGATTTCTTTATCAATTATTCACAGAACAAGATATTGAACACAGAATCTGAGTTTTAACATTAGAATAGTTTCATGAATACAGACCAAGATCTTAATGCTGGGATACAGTCAAACCTGTATTAAGAGACCACCCCTGGGAAGTCCAAAATGTGGTCTCCTAATACAGGTTTAGTTTACAATGAAATCACTGCAATGTGAGCACTACAAGTGGTCTGTTAATAGAGGTGATTTCTATGAGAAGGTTTGACTGCTAGTCGTATGTCCTGTCAATAGAGGTGATTTCTATGAGAAGGTTTGACTGTTAGTTGTATGTCCTGTCAATAGAGGTGATTTCTATAAGAAGGTTTGATTGTTAGTTGTATGTCCTGTCATTAGAGGTGATTTCTATGAGAAGGTTTGACTGCTAGTCGTATGTCCTGTCAATAGAGGTGATTTCTATTAGAAGGTTTGACTGTTAGTCATATGTCCTGTCAATAGAGGTGATTTCTATAAGAATGTTTGACTGTTAGTTGTATGTCCTGTCAATAGAGGTGATTTCTATAGGAAGGTTTGACTGTTAGTTGTTTGTCCTGTCAATGGAGGTGATTTCTATGAGAAGGTTTGACTGTTAGTTGTATTTCCTGTCAATAGAGGTGATTTCTATAAGAAGGTTTGACTGTTAGTCGTATGTCCTGTCAATAGAGGTGATTTCTATTAGAAGGTTTGACTGTTAGTCATATGTCCTGTCAATAGAGGTGATTTCTATAAGAAGGTTTGACTGTTAGTTGTATGTCTTGTCAAAAGAGGTGATTTCTATTAGATGGTTTGACTGTTAGTCGTATGTCCTGTCAATAGAGGTGATTTCTATTAGAAGGTTTGACTGCTAGTCGTATGTCCTGTCAATGGAGGGGATTTCTATGAGAAGGTTTGACTGTTAGTCATATGTCCTGTCAATAGAGGTGGTTTCTATAAGAAGGTTTGACTGTTAGTTGTATTTCCTGTCAATAGAGGTGATTTCTATAAGAAGGTTTGATTGTTAGTCATTTGTCCTGTCAATGGAGGTGATTTCTATGAGAAGGTTTGACTGCTAGTCGTATGTCCTGTCAATGGAGGTGATTTCTATGAGAAGGTTTGACTGTTAGTTGTATGTCCTGTCAATAGAGGTGATTTCTATGAGAAGCTTTTACTGTTAGTCGTATGTCCTGGCAATAGAAAAAATCCAATATCAGAAGAATACGACATGTAAAATGTTTGTAACTTCCTTACTTGGTGTTCTTAAAGTGGCGATGTATTTATGTCAACAGGAAGTGATCATGATGCTAGAACAGAGTACCCGGGACTTTAAGTCTCTCATAGAGAGGCTCCACATGCTGCGTGCCTTTGAGGAATCGGCTAAAGAAGGAGACAGGTCAGTCAGCGATTTCTTCACTTTTCTGTCTTCTGTCAAAAGTGTATTATACACATCTGCAGTCCCTACAGAAATTGATTGAGAAGGCAATTGTTTTACAGTCATCTTTCTTGCTCTTCTTTCAAAATTTGATTTTTGTTATGGTCAATTGTAATATGACATCAAATGAATAATCTGATAGCCTTTGCTCTAGAATTATGTGATCTTGTAAGTGATTAAAACTTGCTGTGTTAATGAATGTTCAGTATAAAAAAACATGAAGGATTGTGATTTTTTTTTTTTTAATAAAACGAATGTCTATGCAAGTTTTTATGTACATGTATCTAATATATATCTCAATGCAGCTATAAATTGATATGTAATATATCGGTTTATAGAATCTGGACAACTGTATATTTTCTGCACTATAATAGGGTATACACCCCGAAACCAGGAGCTTATAATATTCTGGTAATATTTGGGTACAACCAACTTTTGTGATCTCTCTATTTCAGGCTAGATTATAACTTACGAGCATTGATGATGTACATGTATGTAGATAAGCTTGGTGCCGCTAAGTCTTTGTCTCTCCTGCATTATGCCTGTTGATGTAATACTTCTGTTGCTCAACATAAAAGTTGTATTGTAATCTGGCTTATTTAGGTTCATTATTCAAGACTACAATATTGATTCTATTTACCGATTTTGAAGATATCCCCAATAATTGGCCTTCCCTTTAGTGGTGTGGCTTCAATGTAATCATGAAATTGTCATCCTTAACTTAGATTGTATTTCCGATTATAAATTTTACGGAATGATGATCGTTAGGTCAGAATATAATAACAAACCACAACAAATAAGGCTTACTGCAGATAGTTTTGTTTATTTATATGGATCGATTATACCGATCTATAAAATGTAATTATCGCTTGCAGCAGTTTTAAATGATGCCATTAGGAAAGTGATATACTATGCTTTGACTGCATTAAGGTGTAGAAGTCCAATGACTTAGACCAAACATAAGGTTAGACATGCATGGATGTAGAAGTCCAATGAATTAGACCAAACATAAGATTAGACATGCATGGATGTAGAAGTCCAATGGCCTAGACCAAACATAAGGTTAGACATGCATGGATGTAGAAGTCCAATGACCTAGACCAAACATAAGATTAGCCATGCATGGATGTAGAAGGCCAATGACCTAGACCAAACATACGGTTAGACATGCATGGATGTAGAAGTTGAATGACTTAGACCAAACATAAGGTAAGACATGCATGGATGTAGAAGTCCAATGACTTAGACCAAACATAAGGTAAGACATGCATGGATGTAGAAGTCCAATGAATTAGACCAAACATGAGATTAGACATGCATGGATGTAGAAGTTCAATGACTTAGACCAAACATACGGTTAGACATGCATGGATGTGCTTATTGTAACTTTTCTTCAAATACAATGCATATGCATCTGTTTTTCAACGAACATTGGTTGGGTCTGATGATAGTCAAGTTCCAAATAGTGTTCAGCAAAGTCTACTGTCATAATAGTGTTGGTGGCCCTGCTAGAGATGGGCAGTGTGTACACAGAAAAGCATTGTACTTGCATATTGAATAATAATCCGACCCACTGTCCGTTGAAAAACATATGCATATTTCCTTGCAGAGTAAACAAATTTCAAATTTGTCGCCAGTAAATCTCCCCTCCCATGGTTTTGTTTGATCATGTTTTCTAAAAATCACCCAGGCTATTGTTAGAATCAATACGATATCCATTTTGATTAGATTTGGGGATTACTTGGGTGTGGATTTGAACATTTCTCCTGTGTATATCTTGGAAGAGAAACCAGCTTCAAATCTTTTGTTTTTTATTTGCTTTACCTTGATTTTGATTTGCACTGTTTTCAGGCCAACTTCAATTGCATGGGAAGTGAGAAAAATGTCACCAGGTAAAAGTGCTGGTACCCAGGGTCACGGCAGGAGTACGAGTTCTCCGAGCCCCGCACAGAGGGTGCTCACCTTTCCGGACCAGAGATCTGAGTAATGATTGTTTGTGCTTCTTTGTCTGTGGCTATGTTTTAATTCTACCTATTTGTGTAAAATTTTGATTGGTAATTTTGTCAGGTATATCTAAACTTTTGATTGATTTCAGTCATCAAATATTTCTGTAATTTTTTTATCAGTGCATATAATACACTGTCATCAAATATTTGTGTACATTTTTATTTTGTCCTCTGTTTTGTGTTAAGTTTTGATTGGTACTCGTTAGGGCCCCGTATCGGAGATATGGGTGCCCTATAGTAATCACTCTGTCTGTCTGTCCACAAATTTTGTTCCTGGCTGATAACTTTGGTATTTATTGACCGATGTACATGAAACGTGGTCAAGATGTTCAGTTCACAAAAATACACATTGAGGCAAAAAGTCAAGGTCAAAGGTCAAGGTCATTAGGTTCAAAGGTCAAGGTCAAATTTTACATCTTTTCACTGATGAACATTTTGTTATGACATTATGGAGCAAAGTTGATCAGAATTAAACAAGCAGTCAACTGACCAAAGGTCAAGGTCATCGGGTCAGGGGTCAAGGTCAAATTTTGTAGCTTTTCACTGGTGAACCAATTCGCTATGACATTATGGAGCAAAGTTGTTGGGAATTAAACAAAGAGACACACTGAGGTAAAAAGTCGAGGTCAAAGGTCAAGGTCATTAGATTCAAAGGTCAAGGTCAAATTTTGCATCTTTTCACTGATGAACATTTTGTTATGACATGATGAAGCAAAGTTGATCAGAATTAAACAAGGAGTTTCAATTTACCAAAGGTCAAGGTCATTGGGTCAAAGGTCAAGGTTAAATTTTGTATCTTTTCACTGGTGAACATTTTGCTATGACACTTTGAAGCAATGTAGCTCAGAATTAAACAAGGAGTCAATTGACCAAAGGTCAAGGTCACTGTGTCAAAGGTGAAGGTTACATTTTGTACCTTTTCCCTGATAAAAATTTTGTTGTGAGATTATGAAGCAATGTTGTTCAGAACTTAACGCAGAGTCAACTGACATTAGGTCCAGGTTACGGAGTCCAAAGGGTCAAGGTCAAGTTTTGTATTTTTCACTGATGAACATTTTGTTATGATATTAAGAAGCAAAGTTGGTCGGAATTAAAGAATAAGTCAACTGACCAAAGATCAGGGTCACTGGGTTAATGGTCAAAGTCATTTGGGTCCAAAGGTCAAAGACAAAGTGGATCTCTGACATTGACCCTGGCTCATGATTGAGGAGGTATATAAGGTGAAATAAAACAAATCAAAGCTAACAAATGAATATTGCACCGGTATTAACATTTCTGTTAGCCCAGCAAATATGTAGGTGGAAGGAAACAAGACTCACATCATAGTACATATAAAATGTCTATTTTGCTTCCTTGCGATTCTTTTTGAAGTCCAAATATCAAACGTCAAGCTCAGCTATATGGGCAGATTGCTTCTTGATGATTATGGGGAATATATTGCCACAAGACGGGGCCCTTACTGACCTGTCAGTGTTCTAGTTTTATGTAAAATTTTGATTTAGTTTTCCCATGCGAGATATTAGTGAGAATTTTTGATTGTGTTATGTCTGCGAACAGATAGATATTTTTCAAGGAACAAATAACGATTAGATGTTAATAGAGTGTTTTATTAATAAACTGTAGCACTACATGGCTATAACCTATATTTATAAACACCATTATCTTAATCATAGTCGGCCAGTGCTTTATTGTCGGAATGCCAGCAATTTGGAACATTATGTGCCTAATGCTATCAACATTATGTGGCTTAATGGCGCAGTTGTTTTTCCTTGTTGCCCAGATATTATTATTTTTTTACCAATGGATGTCTTCAACCTCCTCATTAAATGTACAATGATATTTGGACAGGACACCTGTATTTAAATGCTTCCAAACATGTTCCCAACAGGTATTTTTGTCGTATGAAAATATAGCAATATATGTAGCAATAAGTGTAGCAATATATACATCTGCAATGTGTATGATTAATAATATAATTCAATGATAATATGATTAATAATAATATGATTCTATGTATTGAAATAATTTTAGCACATGATAAGGGCCAGAGTTTTCTACATGTGTTAAATTCATGAATAATTAATCTGTTGCTTATTGTCCAAAGGTGTTTAAATTGGATATCTGTATAGCCTTCATAGACATTGTAAGTTATTGAGGGAACTATTTTTGAAACTAGATTAAATAAAAAAAAGTCTAATGATGTTTTGAAGAATTACTAGCTTTTAACAACTCTTCCTTTCTTTAAAGAGATATTGTATTTTGTTTAAGTAATTTAATGCCTTAATTGTAACAAAAGATCTTTTCAGGAACAGTGTGTAATAAAAAATAAATTAATTAAGGTTATGAAATAAATGGCAGATCTTAATGGCAGATAAGTGGTATTAGTAGGGAAAGTTCACTGTATTGTGCCAATTGAAGTAGGTGTTTGGTGGAAAATGTGCCTGTTGTGAATATCTAAGGTTGAAATCAATATGGAACGTTTGAAGTGAATTTATGAAAAAAAATTAAACACCTTGGAAAAATTCATTGTAAAATTAGTAGATCTATTATTGGCAGTATTCTTAACAAGGTGTTCAGAAGGGTTTTCACCAGGAACAGGAGGCAAGGTAGTTTTCTTGATTATATTATGTACTATTTTATGATCTGCCCTTACCGGTAGGCTGTGAGAGAAAGACTGTTCATATACTCTACGCTTATCTCCCTTTAGGTTGGGACACAGTAGCTGGGCAGACAAGGTGAAGGGTAAAGTGGCAGCTTCATGTTCGGCTGACGTCCCTGAAGTTGTCTCCCCTACAAGCACCCTACCTCTGCCACCACCACCTGTCACACAGAACGGGATCTCTGCCTCGGAGCCTGACACAGACGGCAGTAATACCATAGAAGGTACACACGTGTTTGTATGTTAGACAACTCCTAGCTCTCCTCACCCATATTGGTGTTACAGGGTATTTTAAAATTTATGGTCAATAAAATATTTGACATGGCCATCATGATCTCAAGCTCCTGAAATATTTCAATTTCTTGACTGTTTCCTTCTTTATCTAAACTAGACAAGTCTACAGTAATACAGGCCCGATGAGCCTCTTTTTGAAGTACTTTTGCATTTTGATAAATATCAAATGTTAGTTTTGTCATTTGAAACATTTGAATCAGCATTTAAATGTTCTGGTCCGCTCATACTATTCAGTTCCGTTTCTTTATGCATTATCCCTTAGGAATTAAGCCTATTGGCACAGCACTTCAAACAAGTATACATAGCAATTGGGTGATTTACAAGCATAATCCTCCCTATATCCATTGCTACTCGTAGTTCCAAATTACCTCCTGAATCTGATGCCTGCAGATATCTCATATCTTTTACATTATCAGGGTTTGCCTCAAACATTTTCAACAGGTTTAGTCTTGGATATAGTGAAACCTAGTCAGTCATACTTTGGTTTTGGAAGTAATTACGATTCTTATATCTTGCATCAAGGAGGCAAAATGTCACTGTACTGTATTTATTGAACACATCTGACTCCGACCCTGATTTCTGTTTCTATTTTACAGATGATAATGACGGCTGGGAGACAGTGCAAAGGGGAAGCAAGTGTAAAGCGCGACAGTCACCCTCACAGAGGTCTCTAGAAAATCTGACAGGAGTTGGTCAGAACCTCGGACGAAAGAATTTAAAACGAACTCTTTCTGACCCACATGCTAGTAAAACTGGACATGGTCAAACTAAAATGGAGAAGAGTCCACTGGCAAAAAAGTCTGTGGCTGGTGGAAATAAAAGTCCATTGTCAAAAAAGTCTGTAGCTGGTGGCAATCAGAACAATGGAACTCGACAGAGAACTGATAGTAAGGATAGTGAAAAGGAAAATCGTCCCAGTGAAAGTCGTCGGCAGATTGCCTCATCTCAAAGTGACTTGTCTGTGTCTCAGTCGGGGCGGACTAGTGGGGCTAGAGTGAGCCCAACCCTAAAGAAATCTTTGCCTAGCGTGTCTAGGTCATCCCCCAACATATCGGGCGTGAGTCGAAGCTCCGAGCCAACAGTAGGAACGAAGATGTCTTACAGTGGTTCGGTAACAAAAGGTTCATCTCCGGCACCTGCCAGAGGGCGCTCTACCACGAAAAAGGACATGAAAAAATCACAGTCCCTCGATCTCAAGGTAGAGGACTCTAGTGTTATTCTGAGCAAGGTTATGGAAAAAGGAGAGACAGATTCTTTATTGGTTATTAAATGTGCAGATTCTCCGATTGACAGCAAGCTTAAAGGTACAGATTCTCAAGGTAGTCATGTCCAAGGAGCATCATCAGACGGTCTTCGTCAAGGAGAGGTTCCAGTGAACCAGGAAACTAAGGGTGATGACGAGGAAAGGCTTGATTTGGAAAGTCAGGAGAAGGACCAACAACAGGATGAAGAGGAGAAGGACAGACAACAGGATGAAGAGGAGAAGGACAGACAACAGGATGAAGAGGATGATGCGTATGCTGCCCAGTTAGACAGTGTAAGATTAATACTGCAGTGTTTTATCCAGAGTGAGGGATTGATTACATCCCTCTGAATTTGAAAATCTGCCTATATAAACTATCACTACTTCTACCCCTTTTTTGCATACATGGAGAAAAAATTGTAAAGTCATTAATAAGAAGCTGTCAGTTGAGCTAAATGAAACTTTGCTTTAATATAACAAAGCTAAAAAAAAAAAATCAGCCTTTTGGCTCATTTCAGCCTTTTTCAGAATTTAGTTTAATGCAGTTAGTTTAATTTTAACAAATTAGTTAAATTCGAGTTGAAACTTTTTATTTTCTTATCTGAATTAAAAATGATCATTGTCAAGAGAGAAATTTATAAATGATTGGATTGGAAAGTCAGGAGAAGGACCGACAACAGGATGAAGAGGAGAAGGACAGACAACAGGATGAAGAGGATGATGCGTATGCTGCTCAGTTGGATTCTGAACTTAGTTGCAGAATTTGCACCACATAAAAATAACCTTGTATACATGTGAAGGGAAATTTATTTTTAAAAATGTTATTTTGAATTAAATTTTGTATGCGCACGTGTTTAGAATAAATCCATTATGCCTGTTGTAATCATAGAAAATATGTGATTACTGCAATCCAATGTGATGTAATTTAATAGTCCTCTGGATTGGTAATTAGACTACGGTAGAGACCTATTCCAACTATAATGTGATGTGATTGGTCGGTTGTAGGCATTAGCAACAGCACTTGAGGAGGAGGATACATTGACCCGGGAACTGGAGGAGGAGCAGGAGCAGGCACTGGAGTCGGCCATACAGGAGGAGGAGACATGGCTCAAGGCCCTCGCCCAGGAACAGAACTCTGTCATTGAGGTTGAGACTGAGACGGAGAGTGACCTAGGGGTGAGCTTAGTCAAGTTAAACTGTGTCACTGAGGTCCAGACTGAGACGGAGAGTGACCTAGGGGTGAGCTTAGTAAAGTCAAACTCTGTCATTGAGGTCCAGACTGAGACGGAGAGTGACCTAGGGGTGAGCTTAGTAAAGTCAAACTCTGTCATTGAGGTCCAGACAGAGACGGATAGTGACCTTTGGGTGAGTTTAGTCAAGTCAAACTCTGTCATTGAGGTCGAGACTGAGAGTGACCTAGGGGTGAGCTTGGTCAATCATAATTTACAAAACTATGTCTATCAACCTTCATTCTATCAATCAATCAATATTTTTATAATCATTCAAGCTGAAAATGAAACAGGCATAGCTTAGGATTTAAAACAATAACCCTCAGTTAGTTATGACTAAAATACTGTTTTACTGCGTGTACATATAACAAAAAAGAAAGAAAAAGAGTTTCATTTTGAAATTTAACACAGAAAGTTTCCTGGAGGTAATGAAACATGTAGACCTAGTTGGAAGATCATGTAAGTCACCTTCTATATGCGGTGTCGGGAACAAGTGTTGGCCCATTTGATCACCTTTCTCAGGACTAGTTTAGTTGGAACCTCATCATTGGTATGCACACTCTTGGGGGCTTGTGTACCAAATATTTTCAGGAGTATACATAGCAATTTTCAAGTAATAGTTATACAAAATAACTCCTTCTTGAGTTTACATGGCTATTAAAAATTGTTTTGGATAAATAAGAAAAGTTCCAGTTTTACTTGTGTAACTTCCCTATACTACTCTACTTGCAGAACACAATGAGTTCTTTGGAGGCTTCTGGACAGACATTGGACTGGGATATTCTCTGTGCCCAATATGACGGTAAGATATCTCACTTATATTGATCAAGATAAATATCAGACACTTTCTTTTTGAACTTTTCACTTATCTTTGTAATAGTATTATATTTCAACCAAGGTTGCAATAGAAGCACTTGAGCCAGTATATGTGATTTATTGATTGATTGATTGATAGGTTTTACTTCCGCTTCTGTACCGAGTAGTTCGGTTATCCAGCAGACAAGTTTTTCGCTATTTATAGAAGCTGAGGGGAAGCCAAAGATGTCATGGGGAGAGATTGTTGACGATGCTGAGACCAGGACTCCCGGTCATGGAGTACACATGCATGAGAAATTGTCCTCGCCTTCCCGCCGCAGGTAAGGCCTTCCTCTCGCTACCACCGTATCTTAGTCGACCCTCCTACCAAACCTTCTTACCTTCCTGCCACAGATAGTACAATCCCCTCTGTACCTTGTTTCCTCTGTACCACTGTATCTTATGTCATCCAACCATACCTCCTTACCTTCCTGGCGCCGGTAACGCCATCCCTCTATACCACACTTACTCTGTATCAACGTATCTTATTATGTCATCCAACCATACCTCCTTGCCTTCCTGGCGCCGGTAACGCCATCCCTCTATACCACACTTACTCTGTACCAACGTATCTTATTATGTCATCCAACCATACCTCCTTGCCTTCCTGGCGCCGGTAACGCCATCCCTCTATACCACACTTACTCTGTATCAACGTATCTTATTATGTCATCCAACCATACCTCCTTGCCTTCCTGGCGCCGGTAACGCCATCCCTCTATACCACACTTACTCTGTATCAACGTATCTTATTATGTCATCCAACCATACCTCCTTGCCTTCCTGGCGCCGGTAACGCCATCCCTCTATACCACACTTACTCTGTATCAACGTATCTTATTATGTCATCCAACCATACCTCCTTGCCTTCCTGGCGCCGGTAACGCCATCCCTCTATACCACACTTACTCTGTATCAACGTATCTTATTATGTCATCCAACCATACCTCCTTGCCTTCCTGGCGCCGGTAACGCCATCCCTCTATACCACACTTACTCTGTATCAACGTATCTTATTATGTCATCCAACCATACCTCCTTGCCTTCCTGGCGCCGGTAACGCCATCCCTCTATACCACACTTACTCTGTATCAACGTATCTTATTATGTCATCCAACCATACCTCCTTGCCTTCCTGGCGCCGGTAACGCCATCCCTCTATACCACACTTACTCTGTATCAACGTATCTTATTATGTCATCCAACCATACCTCCTTGCCTTCCTGGCGCCGGTAACGCCATCCCTCTATACCACACTTCCTCTGTATCAACGTATCTTATTATGTCATCCAACCATACCTCCTTACCTTCCTGAAAACTTAAAATATAGAGAAATTTTATTCATGTGAGCACTTTAATTTTACCAATCAAAAGACATAATTTCCAGTGAATATTACTCACTCTATATTTTATGGCCTTATTTCTTTTCCGTACTATGAAAGTCAAGTAACATTTGTGCTGAATGTCACTGACACTGAAAGGAGGTAAAAATCAATTTAGTAAAAGATCAGTGTAATCACACCAATCAAAGTTACCCCCCTATCACCCGTGATCACGGCAATCTGCAGTACTTATCGCCTGTAATGCCAGCTGATTTACATTGATTTAAATAAATAGATCACTCACTGTGACAGGCAAGTACTAAGTCATCCCTATGTGTGTAATTAACGTTCTCCATGCATTCACCTACCACCCATAAATATCCTTACCACCCATACATTTGTACGTTTCTGTAGAATGTGCTTGCGGTAGTGCCACTAAACCTTCATTGTGTTGTAGTACCGTTCACAGGTCCCCCACAGAGTCCAGGAAGAGACACGAGGAGAAGCAAGCCAAGGCTCGGGAACTCCGCGAGAAATTCATGCATGAGAAGTCTGAAAGACTTGGAGAATTGTCTAAAAAGGTGAAGCTGTGTAATTAAAGGCAATATGGAGAGATTCTAACTTACTGTGTTCTCCGTTCTTAATTTTGTTGATCATTATGATTGTTAAACTAGGTTTTTGTTGGTTCTATTTAGAAAAGTAAAATTCATTTCAGAATGATAAGCATGCTGGAGTTGTCTCCCTTATATCTATGGACAGCCAAGGAGCCACATTCATTTAATTCAACAATATAATGTGAGATACACAGAAAAATCTTGCAATATAAGAAACATTTTAGCTTTAGAGATACAAATCTAATCTAGAACCATTTAACACTTACAGCTGATTTTGGTACTTTGTACACAGTACTGAAGGTTTTGTGAAAAACGCGTTGCACATTGGCCAATAAAATGGAGGCACTACACATTGTTGTAAATAAAATGAGGGTTATTACACTTAAATTATGTTAAACTGTATGACCTATATATACAACTAGGGGCATTATGTCAGGGTTTTACTGTAAACTGTATGACTTATATACAACTAGGGGCATTATGTCAGGGTTTTACTGTAAACTGTATGACCAATATAAAACTAAGGGCATTATGTCAGGGTTTTACTGTAAACTGTATGACCTATATAAAACAAGGGGCGTTATGTCAGGGTTTTACTGTAAACTGTATGACCTATATAAAACTAGGGGCATTATGTCAGGGTTTTACTGTAAACTGTATGACCTATATATAAAACTAGGGGCATTATGTCAGGGTTTTACTGTAAACTGCATGACCAATATAAAACTAGGGGCGTTATGTCAGGGTTTTACTGTAAACTTTATGACCTATATAAAACTAGGGGCATTATGTCAGGGTTTTACTGTAAACTGTATAACCTATATAAAACTAGGGGCGTTATGTCAGGGTTTTACTGTAAACTGTATGACCTATATATAAAAATTGGGGACGTTATGTCAGGGTTTTACTGTAAACTGTATGACCAATATAAAACTAGGGGCGTTATGTCAGGGTTTTACTGTAAACTGTATGACCTATATAAAACTATGGGCGTTATGTCAGGGTTTTACTGTACAACTGCAATAAAAAGAGTGTGTTTTCAAAGGTTGAGGAGGTACGAGCGTGGAAGGAAGAGCTGATGAGACAGAGGAAGGGGACAATCCAGAGTAAGATGACGAGAGCCGAGGAGAAGCGCCACCTACAGCTTAGAATGAAGGCACAGAAAGCTCATGAGGAGGAGGCAAAGGTAACATGACCCCTAGATCAAGGTCATGGTTTAAAGATCAAATGTCAGTTTTATTAGTGTCTAGTTTGTGTCTCAGCAGTATTATTAGCTCACCTGGTCCAAAGGACCAAGGTGAGCTTATGCCATACCGTGGCGTCCGTCGTTCCTCCGTCCCTCTGTCCGTCGTCCGTCCATCAACAATTTCTTTAAACGACTTCTTCTTAACCACTGATTGGAATTAAACTAAATTTGACTGGAAGCATCCTTAGGTGGTGGGGATTCGAAATTGTACAAATGGTGGGGCTGACCCCCCAGATGGCTGAGGGGTGGGGCTAAAAGGGGGCAATTTGGCTTTATTTCTTTAAGCGACTTCTTCTCTGGAACTAAGAGATGGATATCAACCATATTTCACTGGAAGCATCCCTAGGTGGTGAGGATTCAAAATTGTACAAATGGTGGGGCTGACCCCCCAGATGGCTGAGGGGTGGGGCTAAAAGGGGGCATTTTGGCTTTATTTCTTTAAGCGACTTCTTCTCTGGAACTAAGAGGTGGACCCCCACCATATTTGACTGGAAGCATCCCTAGGTGGTGGGGATTCAAAATCATACAAATGGTGGGAGTGACCCCCCAGGGGGCTGAGGGGCGGGGTCAAAAGGGGGCAATTCGGCTGTATTGCTATAAACAACTTCTTCTGTAGAACTATGTACTGGATATCAATCATATTTAATCAAATTTATTCATGGGGCGGCAGGGATTCAAAATTGTACAAATAGTGGGGCTGACCCCTGGGGCTAAGGGGTGGTGCCAAAATAAATTTATTACTTTGAAATGGTTGAGATCCCCACCATATAACCATATAAACAATTGCTGAGTATAAAGAGAAGAATGCACTGTTGCTTCCAGGATGGCTCTAGGGTCTGGCCCCACCCTTGGAGACATAGTCCCTGGGCTATAACTTTAAAACGGTTGTGATCCCCACCCCAAAACTATATATACAAATGCTGGGCATAAAGAGACGAATGCAGTCATGATATTAGAATAGACCCTTGGGTCTGACCGAACCCCTAGGGACCTAGTTTCTTAGTCACAGCTTGGAAACAGTTGAGATCGCCACCCTATAACCATATAGACAATTGCCGATTATAAAGAGATGAATGCACATGGGCTTCCAGGATGGCCTTGGGGACTACCCCACGCTTGGAAACTTAACCCCTGGGTCATAACTTCGAAATGGTTAAGATCCCCACCCCAAAACTATATATACAATTGTTGCATGGCATAAAGAGATGAATGCAGTCATGATATTAGAATTGACCCCAGGGTCTGCCCCACCCTTGCAGACTTAACCCCTGGGTCATAACTTTGAAAGGGTTGAGATCCCCACCCAAAAACTATATATACAAATGCTGGGCAAAAAGAGACAAATGCAGTTATGATATTAGAATTGATCCTGGGGTCGCCAAAACCCTAGGGACCTAGTTTCTGAGTCACAGCTTGGAAACAGTTGAGATCCCCACCCCATAACCATGCATAAAATTGTTAGGCACGAAAAATCTAATACAGATATGCTGCAAGGATTGGCCTTGGGGTTTGGCATATTCCCTTGGATATCATTTGTAGAATATTTTGCCATGATTGCTTAGATTTCCAGGTGAGCGATACAGGCCCTCTGGGCCTCTTGTTTAAACAAGTAAATACATATGGATGAAATTTGTGTAGATACATAATTACATATCATGACAAGGCAATACCATGTACAGTGGAATCTGCTTCCAGGATGGCCTTGAGGACTACCCCACGCTTGGAAACTTAACCCCTGGGTCATAACTTCGAAATGGTTAAGATCCCCACCCCAAAACTATATATACAATTGTTGCATGGCATAAAGAGACGAATGCAGTCATGATATTAGAATTGACCCCAGGGTCTGCCCCACCCTTGCAGACTTAACCCCTGGGTCATAACTTTGAAAGGGTTGAGATCCCCACCCAAAAACTATATATACAAATGCTGGGCAAAAAGAGACAAATGCAGTCATGATATTAGAATTGATCCTGGGGTCGCCAAAACCCTAGGGACCTAGTCTCTGAGTCACAGCTTGGAAACAGTTGAGATTCCCACCCCATAACCATGCATAAAATTGCTGGGCACGAAAAATCTAATACAGATATGTTACAAGGACTGGCCTTCAGGTTTGGCATATTCCCTTGGATATCATTTGTAGAATATTTTGCCATGATTGCTTAGATATCCAGGTAAGCGATACAGGCCCTCTGGGCCTCTTGTTTAAACAAGTAAATACATATGGATGAAATTTGTGTAGATACATAATTACATATCATGACAAGGCAATACCATGTACAGTGGAATCTGTATTTAGCGACTGACTAAGGGAAATTTAAAAAAACGGTTGTTTAATAAAAGTTTGACCATATTTTGTACACACAACCGACTATAACCAAACGACTCCTTATTCAGACAACTGTAAACAGACCACCGCCCCAAATTGTCATTTAACTCAGAGCAAAAGATCGACGGAGACTTGTTGAAGTTCTCAACTTACACGACTGTTTTCGGTAATTACCATGATATAAGCTAACTTGTTTCGAAATATATTGTTGAAATGATAGCGGTTCCTGTGTTGGTCCAACAGATGGGTTCACGTGTATTATTCCTTATTTTACGATGGAAACTGGAAAGAAAATCCAGTTAAAAAAAATACCAAAATAATGTCGACAGCATGTTGCCATAAAACAGACTGGCATTGTTGTCGTTAGTACTTTGGCGTTGAGAAGTTCAGGGATGTTATTAAAGGCGTTTAATATTGATGAGGAATTAGAAACGTTATGTATGCTAACATAAACATATTTAGTGCGCAGTTGCGCTGATATTTAATGATAATTTCGAACGATAGTGTTGTTGTGAACATCTCTCAACAGACCCGATTTAAAGAATGAAAACCTACCAGTGTACTTCATCCAATCAAAAGGAGTATATCGTAGGGTTCAAGGTTACATTGCCTAGCAGGACACTCGCGCAATCAAAATGGTTTTGCTCACCTGCGATATTTTCACTGCTAAATCATCAATATCGGCAGTTAGAAAAATGACTTTTTATTTGTTTTTGCACATCAATGAATTAATTATGAGTTTGGATTTATTTTTTCTTCTCCAAATTTCTTCATTGAACTTGGTAAAAAGATCGTGAATTAGCCCTTCGTCAAATGTGGTGATGGTCGCAAATTTGGAGGTTACACAACTATTTCAACGATCGTTTGGTATATTTTTGTCTAACATGGACGTTAAAATCAGAGGCATATAAAGCCAGAAATTTGTAGTATATATGTCTGCTAAAATGTATAAAATGTGGTCGTTTAACATAATTTTGGGGTCATATTGGGTGGTCGCTAGTCGCATTAGACAGATGGTCGCTTAATACAGTTAAATTACATAGTAAAAACGATTGGGAGGAATGAAAAGTGGTCGCATAAAACAGATGGTCGTTTAATACAGATGGTCGCTTGAGCAGACTCAACTGTAATATTATTAGGACCTTCATTGTAATGAAAAAGTGGTAATTTATAACCTTTGTTGAATGAAATTTGAAAGCAGTATGTAATGATAATTAATTAGAAAATCAGTAATTAATTAGTCGTTGTTTTACAGGCCAATGAGATAGCCTTCATCAACGCCCTGGATGCCCAAAACAAGCGCCATGATATCATGTCTAAACATCAAGAGTCGGAGGCCAGGCTCCACACCATGGAGGTACTTGTAACAGCTATTGATAGACTTCATGTTACTCACACGAGTCATTGTTTTTATCACAATTTATCATTGTTTTAACCATTTTGCTTTAAATGGTTGTTACGTTCATTATAAGGCCATTAACACTAAACTCTGTTGTTCCATGCGTATGATCCTTTTTATCGTATTTTCAATTTTCAAAGGTATTTTTCAATTTGTTGTATAGATACCTTTGTAATATAATATATAATAAAATCAGTATGATCAATCTGAATGATCTATCACTAGGACCAATATCTCGGAATAAAAAAGGATTTTACATTACTCAGGTTAAAAATACAGAAGGGCTGTCTTGAAAATTAATCATGTTTGTTTTAACAGAGAATCACTTCCATTCACATTTCATAACAAATTATAATGATGATGTTTTATTTGTGAGATGAAATAATAACATCAGTTATTTTCTCTGTAACAGGAAGAGCGCCAGCGAAAGCATGTTGAAAAGCTTGCAAAGGAGTCTGCTGTGGAGGAGAGGCGGCGTGCTCTGTACGCCGAGCGACAGGCGAAACTCAAAGACATGGAGGAACGTCGCAAACAGCGTGATGCACGTGTGGAACATCAACAACAAGAAAAGGAGAAGGAACGATTGGAGGCCCTCAGGATCAGGGAAAAGTTTGTATTCAGAGAAGGGTTAAATGTGGTGGAATGACCTCAATATTCCAGCCACCTGCAATTATAGCAAATGTGGATGGATTGTATGACATGTTTTACTGAGACACTTTTATATAGAAAAAGTCCAATGAGTCCCCTAAATCACTGACTAAATTGTGTAACTGTTTTAGTGACAGATAGTTTAATAATGCTTGACTACTGGGACAATTCAATACAGCAAAAGTCGAAACTGTTGTCTAAAATGCTGGCTTGGAAGTGAGGATAACCCTGTGGTAGATGGTTTAACATGGCTCGACAGTAAGATGTGGTAGGATTAATAACAAATATCAACACAACTATGCACTAAACATGTTTATGTAACACACAAACTGTTCTCGACTCCTTACTGCCTTGACTAATGATAACTTGTGTGACTTGTGTTTAGGGAGAGAGAAGAGCCTCCTTACGGCCTTGACTAATGAGAGCTTGTCTGACTTGTGTTTAGGGAGAGAGAAGAGACTCCTTACGGCCTTGATTAATGAGAACTTGTCTGACTTGTGTTTAGGGAGAGAGAAGAGACTCCTTACGGCCTTGACTAATGAGAGCTTGTCTGACTTGTGTTTGGGGAGAGAGAAGAGCCTCCTTACGGCCTTTACTAATGAGAACTTGTGTGACTTGTGTTTAGGGTGAGAGAAGAGCCTGTTTACGGCCTTGACTAATGAGAACTTGTCTGACTTGTGTTTAGGGAGAGAGAAGACCCTCCCTACGGCCTTGACTTATGAGAACTTGTGTGACTTGTGTTTAGGGAGAGATAAGAGCCTCCTTACGGCCTTGACTAATGAGAACTTGTCTGACTTGTGCTTAGGGAGAGAGAAGAGACTCCTCACGGCCTTGACTAATGAGAACTTGTGTGACTTGGGTTTAGGGAGAGAGAAGAGCCTCCGTACGGCCTTGACTTATGAGAACTTGAGGGACTTGTGTTTAGGGAGAGAGAAGAGGCTCCTTACGGCCTTGACTAATGAGACCTTGTGTGACTTGTGTTTAGGGAGAGATAAGAGCCTCCTTACGGCCTTGACTTATGAGAACTTGAGGGACGTGTGTTTAGGGAGAGAGAAGAGCCTCCGTACGGCCTTGACTTATGAGAACTTGAGGGACGTGTGTTTAGGGAGAGAGAAGAGCCTCCGTACGGCCTTGACTAATGAGAGCTTGTCTGGCTTGTGTTTAGGGAGAGAGAAGAGACTCCTTACGTCCTTGACTAATGAGAACTTGTGTGACTTGGGTTTAGGGAGAGAGAAGAGCCTCCGTACGGCCTTGACTTATGAGAACTTGAGGGACGTGTGTTTAGGGAGAGAGAAGAGCCTCCGTACGGCCTTGACTTATGAGAACTTGAGGGACGTGTGTTTAGGGAGAGAGAAGAGCCTCCTTGCGGCCTTGACTAATGAGAGCTTGTCTGGCTTGTGTTTAGGGAGAGAGAAGAGCCTCCTTACGGCCTTGACTTATGAGAACTTGAGTGACTTGTGTTTGGGAGAGAGAAGAGCCTCCTTACAGCCTTGACTAATGAGAACTTGTGTGACTTGGGTTTAGGGAGAGAGAAGAGCCTCCTTGCGGCCTTGACTAATGAGAGCTTGTCTGGCTTGTGTTTAGGGAGAGAGAAGACCCTCCCTACGGCCTTGACTTATGAGAACTTGAGTGACTTGTGTTTAGTGAGAGAGAAGAGCCTCCTTACGGCCTTGACTTATGAGAACTTGAGTGACTTGTGTTTGGGGAGAGAGAAGAGCCTCCTTACGGCCTTGACTTATGAGAACTTGAGTGACTTGTGTTTAGGGAGAGAGAAGAGCCTCCTTACGGTCTTGACTAATGAAAACTTGTGTGGCTTGTGTTTAGGGAGAGAGAAGAGCGCCTGGCCGCACTGAACGCCCAACAACAAGCTCACATACAGGAGCTCCAGAAAAAGATACAACAAAAGGTAACCTACTGCCATAGAGACCCATAGTCACACCCACTTCTGTGTCCAGTTGATGTTGGCAGTACAACATGGACAGTTGACAGTACAAAAAGGTTTAATGGGACATTTCAGTGTAGGATAAAAGTAAAGCTGTACACCACAAGTGATTGCCACAACTGATCATTCGTCCTGTTCAGCTCTCCTTATTGAAGGCAAATTTTAGTACATATGGTAGGCATAGGAATTCCACCTTGCTGAAATTAACACTGGGAAAATATGGATTTTAACAGTTACCTGGGTATATAATCCAAAGCTTGATTGGGCAGAACAATCGGCTAGTTTACATCACTGTGATCAGGTCTTAGCGCTTCGATTGTATCACATCAAGTGAAATAATATTATACTTATAAGCAAAATGTTGCTATGGCTTGCTTGTTTTGTGAATAGATTAAAGTTTTAAAACAGAAATTCAAAAAGTTTGTTCTGATGAGAAAATGGAAAAATTAGCTGCTGCAACATAACCTCTGACAAATGAAATTTTAGCAAGATGAGTCGACTCAGCGTCACCAAGAAGCTCTCCAGCAGATTCGTGAGAAAGCCTTTGAGATGACTGTCCAGCGCCTATCATCAGAGGACCACAACGAGCCCCCTAACATTGCTCCCTATGACACCAAGAAACTTTGTACCATCTGTAACGTCCTGGTAAGCAAATAGAATGACATCATCCTATAGTTAAGGAGAGAAAGACTCTTTGTATGGTAACAATCTCATTTGATACTGACAAATAGCCAAGATCTAGTATGAGAAAAATGGAAAAAAGTTAAAGACAAAATGTGAGTAGAGTTATCTCCCCTAACACATGATTTGTATTTCGGGAGATGACAGGATGTGTATTTTCTGTCACAGATCCCATCAGAGGTCCACCTTCTGAGTCACTTGCGTGGGAAGAAACACCAACAGGCATTACAGGACAATAACTCTGGCAAGACCATGACCAAACAGGAAATTGTGAGTGGGTCCTTCATGATCATGGCCCACTTGTATAAAACATCTCAAAGTTAAGGAAAATCTCAAGCAATGTATTGTCTGTGGGAAATCTTAGACTTGAGGAAATCTCAAGAGTTGAGATGTTTTATACAAGTGGGCCAAGGTCTGATTTTTGTTTTTACAAAATTTAAAAAAAAAAGGAAAAAAATATAACATTTTTTTTTCAGATCAGTTCAATGCTTTTCCCTTTCCCTTGAATACCTTATGAACTCTATATCAATTATATCCTATTTATGTAAAAATGTGGAAATGTTTGTATTTCAATCATTTAAAACCATTTGTAGTGTGAAATTTTGGCATTGACAATGCTGCATTGTATGAATTTCATAGATTGTCATTTTCGACCTGCTTATTTAGTAAATGCAAAATCAGTGAAAAAATGTGCATTTACAGAAATGAGCCATGTGAATAAGCTGTAGATAATGAAAAGTGGTGATCTAAAAACAGAGTCGGCTAACAGACAGAAGCGTTGCATGTAACACGTTTATTTTACAGGAGACGTTCAACCTGAAACATATAGTCGATGCACCGACCAACAGCACACATCCCAAAATTGTGTCGGAGAAGGAACGGCTCAAATCACTCAAGAAACGCTGTAAGAAGTTACGGCAGAGAATGATAACAAGGTACGTGATAGTCTAACAAATACATCCCATTTCTGAAGGTGTTGTTCAACTCTTCATTGTGTGGTGAAGTGAAAGTAACCCAGTCCAAAATTGTTAATTTTATCAGGTAAGTTGGATCAGAAATCAGAAATCCCATTTATTAGCTCTTATAGGTAGGGAATGGGCTGACCTCTTTTAAACATTAGTGTTATTCACTATCGTAATTAAGTGTATTAGTTTGTAAGCAGATTTTGACAAGTAATTCTAGCTCAACTTATATTTTCATAGCAAGTACTGAAAACTTTCACTAGGCCTCACATAAAATGTACAAGTCTAGGGCACCGGACCAATGGAATTGTACAGCCCTGAACATCTCTTCCTTTTACAGGGGTTTGGAATATGAGAACAGCCTGACGGGGAAGATCACCAACGCTGACTCGACACATAAAGCCAAGTAAGTTTGTGTTTTGTGTATTGTCAGATTTTACCCAGGTATTAAATGGAATAACTCTGATGGTTTGGGGGATTTGGAGGACAGTATAGTCTAAGTTTAAACTACAAAATATAATGATACTGATTTAATATCATTTTACTGTTTGATCATATGTAATGCAATCTTGTATGTTGTCTTTTGTTTGTTGATTTTTTTGTAAGTTGCTCTTATAGCTTTGGCATTTATACCTCAGATTGGATTAAGTAAGGGTTTAACTCACACTAGATGATTTCAGAAAATTAATTTTAGAAAAACAATTTAATCAAACAAATTGGATGATTAGAGACTGTTGAGGATAGGCCGTAAAACAATATGAAAACTTTGTCCAATATTTGTTCTTTTTCCTTCACAGTGTTAGAAAAGTCTGACAACCTGACACATTTTTTTCTGAAATAAATCGAATCAGGCAGTGAAATTATATAAGTCCATGCCAGTATTTGTTGTGTTAAGGGAAGCAAACCTGACGTGAGTTTTCTATGATGCTATATTTTGTGTATGACAGGCTACAGAAGGTGGTACGTGACATCAATAAATACCTTCAGGCACCCGACACTGGGCCGTGGCCCCAGAACAAAGTATCGGCCCTTGATCGTGCCTTGGGTGAGATCAGCCGTATCCTCGATAAAAAGGTGAGCATTTCAATTGTGCTATGAATATAGCTTCCAGCCTTGGAACCAGAACGTGACAAATAGCTGCTATGGAAAACTACTCAACAAATACAAGTTGAAATTTTTTTTTGTTAATTTTCCGTTAATGACAAGCCGTTCTCTAGAGAATTAAAAATGTTTACGAATTGACAAACTGTCACTAGAGATGACTGAAATCTGGTAGCCATTGTCCGTGGCTACATCCTATCTGATTTAGCCTTTGTCACAACAGCATGTGGCACTTACAAGATTTATATCTGAGATTGAATTTTCCACATTGTTAAGGGCTCCTGGGCTAAACATGTTTACCAAATTTCTTATTAAAAAATCTGCATTGTTTACTCCATAAACTGGATGCCAATCTTGCTGGAGAGAGTTTTTCAGTTATCTCCCTTTGACTAGTAATATACTCATATTGTGTGAAGACTAGCCTACAGTGCTAATACATTGGATTATCATATAAGTACAGAACTTCTGTTCGTACAGGTTATACATTTGAAGGGTTAGTCTCATTATGGTAATCCCTAGATTGTTGATCACCCTGAAAGTCTCAAAATTTCACCACAAGTCTTTGGAATGATAGCCCTGAGAATTTCTAAATTTATCTAGAATGTTAGCTCTGAACATTTTTTAACTTGATGTACCTTCTTCAAAACTCCCGTATTCAAAGCCTTGATTGGATAATTTCTGAACTTGAAGGGCTGCCCTCAGTAGTTCTTTGAATGTTAGACAAAGAAATCTCCAAAGCAAAAGTTTATTTGGCTGTTTGGGGTGCGACTGACCAGACACGTTTTTCATTGTCAAATGTTTCTTTGTTGTGTAGGTCGCTGCTGACCAGACAAGTATTAGGATCCTCGGAGGATTGACCTGTCTGGGCCGAATCCTGCAGACTGTGGATGTCAACGCCTTTCACCTTCCTTCCGTGCTACCTCCCAAGTAAGTGTATCACACATGAACTTAACTAATACAGTCAAACTTCCTTTATCTCAAATATCACATTTGTCCCACAGTAATGGCGATTTATATACAACGCAACCTGTCTAATTCAATATTCTGTGGGACAAAAATGGGATTATTTTTTATGTTAGATTACAAAAGATATCAAAATTGCAAAGGTTGGATAAGACAGGTTTCACTGTATAAATATTCAGGGATATCTACTTCCCTGTTTATCACCAAAAAAAATCATGTTGCAAACAACTGACCTAAGATGGCTTGTCTGTATATTCTGACATTTATATTGGGAGGAGTCTTCCCAGGTGATTGACAGAATCATGTAATTCTGTATCACTTAGGCTGGATAATCATGTCACCTGTCTTATCACAGGTGTGTCTCCTGTTATAGCCAGGACAGGTCAGCTTGTCGCCCCCATTAGACAGAGATATCCACACTTGCAGCCAGGGACATATATTCCTATTTTACCCTAGGGTAAAGACGGGGGATTCCCCCGATGCATGTATTACAATTATATGAGGTTACGTCACCAGTGCATTGACGTCATATTAACAATAGCAGATCACGAAAGATAACTCTGATTTCCTGGAAATTATGAATTCAAGTTTACATTTCATGAAATTACCACTTATGTTTGAAGTGGGAGAAAAATAATCATTCCCGTCTTTTGGAGTAAGACAAAATATTTTTGGGGTTAGATAATTAAAGGTCTGGCCCTCGGCAAAGGGAAGACATTTAAGGATCTTACCTCTTAGTTTGAGATTTTTCTGTCTTACCTCCAAGGTGGGGAAAGCTGCACCTAGTGGGAGATAGTTTTGTGTAGATAAGCAAGTGTTAAATTGTGAGAATAGAAAAATGGTCATAGAAAGGAAACATGTATTTGTTATCCTTCCAAATTGTCCTGGGAAAAGGACCCACACCACTATTATACACCCTGACTATTTTGCTGTTTCCAGGTCTCTAGTCCTGACGTGTTCCGTGTTCCGACAGGCCTGTAAAGGTTGCTATGACAACTGTCACTACATGTTATTTAGTAACAAGCTGGGCACTGTCATAGACCTGCTCATACATAGACTCACGGTAAGTGTATTGCCACCGTAATAACAAATTGTCAATACCACATTCTAACGAACAAAAGCTCCAATTTGTACAACATTTTTCTGACTTGAAATTGCTTGCCCACTTATTATATAGCGAAATGTTATAATAGAAATATATCTTTTATAATCTGCCTTTGTCACAAAATTGTCTCCAACTTGGGGATTAGATCCCCTAACCTTTCCATCATAAAGCAAGGAGATTATTCTTGTGATTCCAGTTAGTACTTTCTGAAACATTTTTGGGAAAACTTTTAAAATGTTCTTACTCCCTAAACAAAGGCCCAGAACCTATAATTTTTTATATGAATGTTAACAGAAAATCACCATTGATATCTGGACCTTAGATATTTTGGTTTCTCTGCAGGCTAATTTTATTTATTTCAACTCTGACGTATTAAATATCTCAAGATGTTCATGATCCCAGCAATTTCAGTGTATGATGAGACTTAAGTGTAATATTCAATGAGAAATATTTAATTAAGCATAGTTACTTATATCTTTTATTCTCCCCAGATCCTGTTACCAGAGGAGCAGAAGCGTCCAGCTTCCGGGTATTCTGGTACCAATCTGTCGTCCAGCTCCTCTGGCCCGAGTAAACTTCCCTGTGATTTAGTGGCAGTTAGCCTCATGCAACTGCTGTCATCCATTCTTAACTGCCTGGCCAAGTACGGCCCAACGGCAAAATGTAGCGAGGCAGCGGCCGAGAGGATGAGCAGCTCGGGAGACCCCTTCACAATCCGTGGCAATGACGTTATCAGGTAGGCAACCCTTGTGTTTGATATATTCTTTCTGAAGTCTGCTCATTAGGAAACATCCACTTGTTGAAAAATTTATATAAAAAACATTAGAATTCAAACTGACGTTCAATACAGCAGAAGACTGTATGAATAGTTCAGACCTGCCCATCTTAATGCAAGCCACTGGAGATTCCCTGCAATTGAGCTATTCATCCTCCACAGGGCTCAGGCTAAACTTTTTAAACCACTAGGCACTGTGCCTAGTGTCATGAAAAATCAGCACTCCAGAAATTTTACTGTACACCTGAGATTATAAAAAAATTCAATAAATTCAACAAGTTTGGTATGTCACACATATCTGCCAATCTGGACTCGTTATATTCCGACATGAACGGAAATAAAAATCAAAGACAGAAACAGGAATTATATCGTGGCAACTTTATTGACCATTAATTTATATATACGAATATGACATATGTGATATCGTCCCACACACATAAGTATTACTGTAAGTGTGCATATATTCATTATAAATCCTAACGTATCGGCACCGTCAGTGATTTTTCTGAACCCTTGCCGAAGTGTCAACGTAAATTATTTGTTACTGCATTTACTCCCAAGTTAATTTATCGTAAATACAATTACTACACATCATAATTAGCAACATATGTTTGATTTCCATTCATCAAATATATCGTGTCAACACTGTACCTTTTGTGAAAAAGGGGTAAAGTTTCACTTCCATCTTTCGTTCCGATTAGTTACGGAACATTATGTAGTCTAGTTCCCTGCTGCGATTGCTGCAGTTGGGCCCCGCAGTACATCGTTCAGGACGCTTTGATTCTAGCGCTCAGGTGATCTTTATGACAAGCATGAAAACGGCATGTTTACGTTGTTTACTTCCGATGCTGTGACGAAAGTTACTTGGTAAAAAGTGTTCCATTGATTATTCATCACAATATTTAGGCGACAGATCTAGTGTATGTTTCAGTAATATTGACCCGGCACCGGGACGAGTGTGTTGTAAATTCCACTCGTCCTTTTCAATTTTCACCCGGTCAGGACGAGTGGCCGGGTGATTAGCCTGAGCCCTGCTCCAAAAACACTCCAAACTCTGCAAAAGAACAGAACACCTCACAATGCTGTTTTCATCTTCCCTTACGACTCTGGAGACGATTAGGTGGTCAAAGAGAGAAAAATCTTCCATCAGGTGGCGCTCTGTGTCCTTGTTTACGGAAAGTTTTATGGCCGCCAGTTTAGAGAAAAAATTATCAGCAGTAGACAATGTGTAGGCCTATTATTAACGTCTCCGGTTTGTGAACATATTGTCCAGTGTCATAATCAATAGATTGATCAGTTTAGATCAAATTAATGTTACAAGTGGAATGAAAGGTTTACCAAAACTGTTTACAGCTGGGGATTCGTGGATTGTCATACAGTAAAATAGGTGATTCGGGGAACGTCATACAGTAAAATAGGTGATTTGGGGATTTTTATACAGTATAATAGGTGATTCGGGGAACATAGGTGATTCGGGGAACGTCATACAGTAAAATAGGTGATTCGGGGAACGTCATAAAGTAAAATAGGTGATTCGTGGAACGTCATAAAGTAAAATAGGTGATTCGGGGAATGTCATACAGTAAAATAGGTGATTCGGGGAATGTCATACAGTAAAATAGGTGATTCGGGCAATGTCATACAGTAAAATAGGTGATTCGGGGAACGTCGTACAGTAAAATAGGTGATTCGGGGAACGTCAAACAGTAAAATAGGTGATTCGGGGAATGTCATACAGTAAAAATAGGTGATTCGGGGAATGTCATACAGTAAAATAGGTGATTCGGGGAATGTCATACAGTAAAATAGGTGATTCGGGGAACGTCATACTGTAAAATAGGTGATTCGGGGAACGTCATACAGTAAAATAGGTGATTCGGGGAACGTCATACAGTAAAATAGGTGATTCGGGGATTGTCACACAGTAAAATAGGTGATTCGGGGAACGTCATACAGATACCAATAGGTGATTCGGGGAACGTCATACAGTAAAATAGGTGATTCGGGGAACGTCATACAGTAAAAAAAGGTGATTCGGGGAACGTCATACAGTAAAATAGGTGAATCGGGGAATGTCATACAGATACCAACAGCTATTCTTCCTAACTCAGTGATGGAAACAATCATATGATGACGGGTTTTAATCCTCATTTACTTGGAGATTCTTTTACAGAATTCAATTGGTATCAATTAATTTCTTGGCCATGCCAATTGTAATTATTGGATTGAATTAATGTCTGCGGTAACGAGGCAGGATTCTTGATCTTACGTCATAACAAGGTCAAAGGTCAAATAAAATACCAAATTTCTAATTGAAATCATGACTGGACCATAACTTTTAAACCACGGAAGAGACCTCAATGAAGCTTGAAGTGATGTAACTGATCCTGATCGAATGGATGGAGTTATTGGGTGGTAGATCTTACTCATAGATTTACATCATGTACTGATGTAGGAAGAAAACCATAGCTGTACATGTTCAGTACTGTAAAATTGTAGGTCAGGAAATAATTGCCGGAGTTAAACTTTCGCCCTTTTTGCCCTCGATTACAAGGGCATATTTATCCTAACAGCCAATATTGATACACAACACACTATATATAGTAATTACGATACACAACATACTATATATAATAACTACGATACACAACACACTATATATAGTAATTACGATACACAACACACTATATAGTAATTACGATACACAACATACTATATATAATAACTACGATACACAACACACTATAAATAGTAATTACGATACACAACACACTATATAGTAATTACGATACACAACATACTATATATAATAACTACGATACACAACACACTATATAGAGTAATTACGATACACAACACTCTATATATAGTAATTACGATACACAACATGCTATACATAGGAATTACGATACACAACACACTATATAGTAATTACGCTACACAACATACTATATATAGTAATTACGATACACAACACACTATATATAGTAATAACAATACACAGCACACCATATAGTAATTTCGATACACAACACACTATATATAGTAATTACGATACACAACACACTATATATAGTAATTACGATACACAACAAACTATATATAGTAATTACGATACACAACACACTATATATAGTAATTACGATACATAACACACTATATATAGTAATTACGATACACAACACACTATATATAATAATTACATGTGAGGTGGGAATTGAACGCTGAGGGAATATGGAATTTACCAGTGAAGGGAGAAAGTTTGACTGGGCGAAAGATTCATGTAATACTGAAGTAAAATATAATGTCATGAAAAACCTCAATATTATGATCCTTCATTTGCAAACAATGAAATAAGATGCATAATCATGGGTCAAGAGAGAAAAAAAGGGAAATATATAGGTTGGAGTGTTGGGATTTAAAGTATGCCTTTCTGGATTGGAACACACTTTTTATGTCAAAATGATATAAAAGATGCTGTTTTTATCCTGTCCTCTTCAGCTTAATATGGTAAAATTCACAGCTCTGCTATACGTCTAGATTACAGATGTTTTAACGTTACTGACTGAAGAAGGACTGGACCATTTGGTTAGATAACACAGTGTGTCGGTGAAGTCAGGTGCCATAAAATTGTGTCCATATTACACAATGTCCTAAAAGGGGAGTGCCAGTAATGTCTGACCAATTTTCACCAAACTAGTACATTAGAAGGTATAAGAATACCTCAAGCTAAGTTTGTGTTTTGATTATAAAGAAAATCTTTTTCGTCACTGAACGACTCGTTCATCTGTCAATCATAAGAATGGGTTTGGTATTAATACGGTCTGGTATTGCTGCTGTGACACAGTTTGTTTTGTATGTGACATGCTTTACAAACCTTGCTGTACAATCATACCTTCATGGCGAATACTGTGTTATTTTTTGACAGTCTAACCTGAATATAAATAAATAAATATCGCAAGTCAATTTAGAAATATACAGACACAATGAAATTTGTCATCAGAGAATTCGAATAAGTTGTTATACGTATACATGACTCACTATAAATACTGTCGGCAAGATGTATTGTTGAATGCTCTCAAACACACGGTGCATGCTAGGGGATTTGTATCATTTACGATACCTTGTAGACCTGTTGTCTAATTAGGATCAGATGGTGACTTTGGACATTGGGTACCAATCTCAGATAAAGTTTCTGTTGCAAATATAACATGCATTATGAAAAGTGAGAGCAATAAGGGTCCTAGTAAAGTTAAACCAGACAGAAAATGATCTGTATTTCATAATTACACTGTGTCTATTACACCTGACATCCTTGTAATTTCCATGTAATGTATCTGTTCACCTGGTGAACTCTTCGTTCTCTAACAAGCATGTTTCCTACCCTCATCCAAGCCTCCGTGTGACAGGTGTGCTTCGTTATCTTACAAGCATGTCTTTAACCCTGATCCAAGCCTCCGTGTGACAGGTGTGCGTTGGTGTTCCATCTGGTGACCTGTATGTAGAATAACTTCCTATATAGCTACTGTCCCCAACGACCAGCGTCCAGCCTCTTTCTGAGGCAGCTGTGGCCACCGTCACAGTGATTGATATCGTAACATTCCGTACAGTGTTTCGCTTTCATCTGGAGAAATATCAAAAGACACATGTTGGCTCGTTGTAATGGTGATGAATATCCCTGCATTCTGCACTGCGTAACACTCCATGTATTGTTGATAAATGTCCAAACCGGGGCTAATATTTGTGTGTTTTTCAATGTTTTGTTGCAGTTGTTTCTAAAAATATACATATATATTGACAAAACTACATTGTATTGATGTTTATCAACTGTAATTATTGCAGTGTTACACATAATTTCAAATTATTGCAAATAACCTATAGAGTTTGTTAGATTTTATAAGCAATCAGATGTCAGAGTGTTGTTTGTAAGCTCCAAGATACAAACTAGGTTATCTCATGAT